GACCATAGAGGAACATCTGACAAAAGTGGTCGCAAGGAACCAGCGAGATTGGGACAAGCACTTGCCTCTATTTTTAATGGCTTACAGAGCAGCTGTTCACGATTCAACAGGTGGAAGTCCGGCTAGAATCGTTTTTGGACGAGAACTCAGCTTACCTTGCGATCTGATGTTTGGAATACCTGAAGAAAAACGAAAAGAAATTCCAGACTATGCCGACGAAGTAAGGGCACGACTTCTGGGTATCCATGATTTTGCTCGGAAGCATATTCAACTAGCCAGTGACCGGATGAAGACCAGATACGACCTGAAAGCCAATTCAGCCGGATTTCAAGAAGGTGATTTAGTGTGGTTGTATAATCCAGCAAGAAAGAAAGGTGTATCACCGAAATTGTCTTCAGCATGGGAAGGACCTTATGGAATAATCAAGAGGATCAATGATTTGGTGTATCGAGTCCAGCGCAACACCAGGAGTAAGATGAAAGTTGTACATCTGGACAGATTGGCGAAATATCATGGGCGTGAAGTTGATCGGGACGATCAACCTTAAGAGGAGGGCAGTGTTACGATAACGTTAAACGCTGTTGCCAGAATAGGCGTCCGCCAGGCTGTCAAGAACCCGATGTCGAATATCCTAGAACCTAGCGAATTATTCTACTATAATCGAGGAAATAAGATTATCGTGTGTGTTCTAGATTTTACAGGAATAGATTTAGAGATATATATAAAAGGCCGCTATTGCTTTGTAGTTTAAGTTTCAGTTTGACTGTGATACGATTTAAATAGTGATTATTGCGAGTTGTAAGAGTTTAATTGTTGAGTTAGTTATTAAAGTAATTAATGTCAGAGTGTATTGTTAAGTGGAATAAATTATTGCTGTGTTAATTGGACTTTGATTTTTGGAATAAACGAAACGAACCCAAGATTTCTGTCAGGCAACCCAAAGCCGTGACAATACGTGCGAAATAACGTCCTAAGGCGTTATGGAGATGTAGATTATTTGAGTGTTTGGGCTAGCATTTTTGATAACCGTATCATAGGCCCCCTTTTTACCTATTCACTTAACAGGAGAAATGTACCATCGTCACCAAAAGTAACTGGGACAGCATCATATGAGCTCTTGTATTATTATATGAATTTTATTGTCAAATATTTGTCAAACTATGAATCAAATGCATTGAAATGAATGACAGTAGAATTAGTCCAGGAGATTATTATGCATTATTTTCGTCCCAGATACTTTTGGTGACGATGGTACCTAGAGTGGTTAGAAGATGCGATTCATCCAGAATTGGTGGAGATACTAGAGAATGATAACGGATACAAAACTAATATTCCTACAAGATGGTGCGCCACTCCACTATGCTGCAGTGGCTCGCCAATATTTGGACCAAACGTTTCCAGAACAATGGATTCGAAGGAGAGGAGCTATTGAGTGGACCCACGTTTTCCAGATTTAAGCCCGTTAGATTTTTTCTTCTGGGGTCATTTTCGGTATTTACTTGATTGATTTTGTTTTTGAAGCATATTTTTAAATACAAAATATCCCAACATGTTTTTGTAGCTTTAATTAGCCCCTGTAATGGCTAGGTAGATAGCAGCGATGTAAGACTCGGGGCTTATAATCTACATAAAAATAGCTTCAAAATGAGGTATCACTCGACCCCTCATTACATTTAAAATTTTGTAGCCCTTGTCACCCCCGCTAGGGGGTGAAAATACCAAAAAAATTGTTCCCCCTTAAATCAAAAATCGACGGGCACGAGGGTTATAAAGAAAACTCGATTGCATTTGGTAAAAAATTGCCGTAATTGTACTACCAAATTTGACCGCTAGTTGGTAGTTGCGTCGTTACTCCATTATGGGTCCTTTGCGCTAACATTTCCGAACAACACCGACGCATCGATCAGTTGTGTCAATAAGTGGAATCAGTTTTGGAAAAATTCCGATGTAAGTGCAATTTGTGTGGTTATTCACTCAACAACTGAGATTGATGTACAGAAGTAGAAGCAACACTTTGGTGCAAAAGTGATGTTATTATCTCTATAGGTATTATTTTTCCACGTTTTTTGTTCATTTTCTTCTTTTTTCCTTGCTTAGCACTAATTTCTAAGCGGAATTTGTGTGTTATGAAATAAAAAGGTTGACCCAACTGAGATTCTATGTGTTTCATTTCAGAAATATAACGACGTAACTACAAAATTCAAAATTTACCATTAATTTCAAAAACTTTATTCAATTAGTGCGTACTTAAAGTGGTCCAAAAAATACTGTTAAGGTTTTTATTTTTAGACAGAATGAACATTTATCCTCTTGAAAATTATAAAATTAATTAATTGCAATTTGTTTTTTGCCTCTCCTGTAAAATTATTGTTTTCGCATATACGTCGGTTTTCTTCTGGAACAGCGATATACCATTTTAAATCTAGGTCGTACCCAATACCATAATGCACACCGAGATGTAGTTCATAAAAAAATACATGAAATGTTGGAAGAGAAAATTGTCAGAAGTTCAGATACACCATATTATTATATTAATCCCACTGTGGCAGTAATAAAGAAGGATGGATGCATAAGAATTTCTTGAGATGCTGCGCTGCCAGCAGAAGAAATACTTTATCAAAAAAGCCCTTTACTTTGCTTTCAAACATTGGATTTAACTAGCAGCTACTGGCAAATAGCTCTGTACCCAGAAGGTATTGTGGGTTTAAGTTTGAAGGTCGAGCTTATGGATTTTTGAGAATGCCTTTTGAGCTATCCACCGCGGTTGCAGGGATGACAAGGTGCTTGAATATCACGGATGAGGACCAGCAGGCGCGTCAATCTACCAACACTGTCCTTATTGGACCAGAGCCTGCACTTGAGGTTGCTTCCTGCCTGATGAAAACCAAGATCAGGAACTGGTCCAACAACCAGTTTCAAGACAAATGGGTAATAAGTATTAGATATTTTGGAAGCATTTCTATGTCAAAGGGAGGATTTACAGCGCCGATATCGGTTTTGGCGCCATATTGGTAGCTATCTTGGATATCTCGCTTCCGGTCGAGACTTCGCTTGGACAACCAGCATTTTCGGATTCAGCGATGTCTAAATAACGGGAAAAAGCCCCAAAAGTAATATGAAATGCTTCGAAAATTTTGATTTTCGGAAAACTTGACTAGACTAATAGAGTTAGCGGGCGATTTAACAACAAATTGTTTTCTTAACGCATTAAAAAGATTTATTGCTAGAAGGGGAGTTTGTAACAATATTTATTCGGACAACGGTACAAATTTTATTGGTGCAAATAATTTTTTAAATGAAATATATGAGAAACTTATTGCAAAAGGATCAATTATTATTCAATAAATTTCTTTTAGAGGGTCGTGTGACATGGCACTTTATACCACCACGTTCCCCAAATTTTGGCGGACTTTGGGAATCAGCAGTGAAAAGCATGAAGTACCACTTGATGAGAACGGTCGGAGAACATCATCTAACATATGAGAACTTGTAAACTGTCCTAACCTAAATCGAGGCTATCCTTAATTCCCGTCCATTATGTCCAATATCCAGCATCCAGCGATCCTAACGATGTCAATGCCCTAAGCCCCGGACACTTTTTGGTTGGACGAGAACTGATATCAACACGTGATGAAGACGTTAAAGATTTGCCAACAACTAAGCTTTCTAAATACTAAGAAATTTAGAAGATGATCCAAAGCTTTTGGAAACCTTGGTCGAATGAATGCCTCCATAATTTGCAACAACGTAACAAATGGATGGTAGATGATGTACAGCATATTACGTTAGGTTTACTTGTCCTAAGTCGTGACGATGGTACACCTCCCATGTATTTGAAACTTGGCAGGATTTGGGAGCTGTTTCCAGGTGATGACCAAGTAACACGTGTGGTTTTAGTGAAAACATAGTCTGGAACTTTAAAATGGGCTGTTGATAAACTGGCAGTACAAATGGAACCTTCGCAGGGTGAGTTTACTCATTTTTCGGGTCACGGCGGAAGCCATTTAGCCAACGCGAATCCGCAATCGCATTTAAAATACAGTCCAGTTTTCACATATCGATACAATAAACCAGCAAACAATTCCGCGTAAAGGCCAGTACTTCAGCAATCTTCTATCGGCAACAGCTTCTGTCATCTTATCACAAGCCATTTGCCGTCTACCGCGACCTCGCTACTTATGCGAAAAGCTGAGTCAATGTCATTAATTGACAACAAATTTTTACTTTAAGTAGAATGGTTGAAGTCTTCTTCCACCTCCAGTCCGCAAACCCAGATGGTACTCCGGTTGGAGTGTTAAATTTTACTATCAATACCCTTTTTCACTTCCTGGATATTCGTCTTAGCAGTTGTCATAAAACTTAAGTTAAGTAAACTTTGCTAAAACCGGAGTCTAATCTGATCATCCTCGCCCAATGAAATAACTTCCGTTATTCCACAGCCTATTCTATGTGTTCTCTTATTTATCTAGATGGCGCTAGATGTGATGGGATCGAATAAAAACAATACACAAACATACTTTTGTAATGAAATGTAGTGAAAGCTTTTTTCGACTGCCAATTATTACTCACTCAAGCTCAATGCCAAAGAATATAAACATTTAATTTAACCTTGCTTAGGTAGGTATTTTTGCCATTAGTTTAGAAAAAAATAATTCTTCTTAATCTCAATTGCAGCCGAAAGGGTAAAAGTTACAGATGACTAAACGTCCAAGCTCTAGCAATGGACTAAATTACTAGCCCTTCTCTTTATCGTGAGTGTTAAAACTGTTAAATATTCAAGTTTCAACTTTGATCTGAAATACTTTCACCGCACCAAATCAATTAAAAACAAATTATTCCCTAACGAAAAACAAATATGAAAAGTTCAAAAATTCCAACTATTCCTGCTAAGTCGGCTATCAGCGATACTCTTCATTTCTTCGTGCATGTGAAGTGAAGGTCAGCCAAAGACACACAAGCTTGCACAGAAGAACCACTTTGTCCACTTTGGTTCTTTATAACCGCTCGGTACCATAGTTTGCCTCCCAGTAACATTTTCAATCATGATGGGGAAGTTACGGTGCGTTTTCTTGCTTTTGGCTTTCGTTGGTAAGTTCTTTTACGTAATTTCTGATGAAACTGTTAAATGGCGTTGACGTTTTTAAAATTTACATAAATAACGAATTTATTATAATTCAAATTGTATTATATAAATACATCCTTCCTAATTAAATGTCAATACAGCAGGAAAGGCTGAAGAACCGCAACCTGGCTGAATTTTAGTTGATTTATTAAAAGTGTGACAATTATGAGACTTTGTTGGTCTTTTATACTTAAATTAATATTTTATTACACTTTCTCTATTATTTTTTTAAAATTAAATCATTAGTCAGCTGTTTGTTCTTATGTAGGTACCTACCTATAAAGCACACTAATGAGAAAGTGCTGGTTAGATTTGAACAAAATTAATTATCGAAGCACAATTTAGCTGATTTATCCAAATTATTCCTAAATAACTTGGTATGTTCATTCAATTCAACTTCTCAGGCCAGTCTTGGACTGTAATTTTTTTATTTTTGTCCTGCTCTTGCATAAAAGACATAAGAGTTAAGGTTGTCGCTGAACATAATGGTCTTCTGTGAACCTGGGATCGATTATTGATAATTTAAAATCAAATTCACAACCGAGTATTTAGTATTTCCTCGTACAAGTACCTACCAATAATGTCAAACAATGACTTTGTGAAAGTTATTCTTAAAATAAAAATTGTCTCGGGCATTGAATTGTAAAGGTCGACTACTTTTGTGGTGTTTGTGTCGCCTTGCTAACCAAAACTTATCAGTTATTTTGATAAAATAAAATCGAACAAAGTTTTTTTTTTTTCAAATCCATGTTAGTCTTCTGCTGTTATTTTAAATAGCTCTAAGTTCATCTTATCTTCTCGATTTGCCAATTTCTTATAGTTGTCACTCTTTATTTTTGATATGTGAATCACTTTGTGGTGCGATTTGTTTGTTCAAATTATTGAAATTTATAGCATCTGGGAAGCTAAGGTACTAATTTTTAATCGACAATTACTACTACAGGGAAACCCTTATCAAAATATACCTAAGTCAATTTTACTGTGCTACTTGAATATCTTTAGGACGTTTCACACGTTATTACAGAGCGTTGGTTTCCACTTTGTTCTTCCAACTTGGATTTGGGTTTTGGGAGGGTCAAGAGCGGAAAGTAATTGCAGTTTTATGGTATTTTACTCAATCGGGCTAATTTTCCCTTTAAAAATATTTCTCAATGCACACTCAGAGAGAGTTTTCCCGTATTCCAAATATTTGTTTCCAGAAATTATTGAATAATCTTCAACATCAACATTTTGATCATGCAGTTAGAGATATAAATTCATTAAGTCTAGGCTAACCTTGAATAGGTATAAATGTGACTCAATTTTTGTACTCTTGCTAATAAATTTGGTAAGATGCAGCAATTTGAATTTGGATCTGAAATTTCAATCATGTGGTTTCTTTGATTGATCAATTTCGAAAAAATATAAAAAAAACTATACCTAAAGTATCCGTGAAGTGACAAAAATTAAAATTTATATTTAATTCTCAGCACTTTCTAATGCGCAATCCAGAAAATCCTTGCCCAAAAGACCAGCAGCACCAGTAGATGATGACGCCCTAACTTCCGACGAGTGCCCAGAACCAAATGGTTTTTTCGCCGATGCTGAACAATGCGATAAATACTATGCCTGCGTGGACGGTGTCATCACTGAAAAATTATGCCCAGACGGTATGGTTTTCAACGATTACAGCACTGAATACGAAAAGTGCGATTTGCCATTCAACATTGATTGCAAATCGAGGCCCAAATTACGTGAGTAGATTCAGTTTTTTTTAAAAATAAAATTAGCTTTAATAATGACTGCTTGTAGAAACTCCTCAACCCAGTGAACATTGTCCAAGAAAAAACGGTTACTTTGCCCACGAAGAACGCAACATTTGTGATAAGTTTTATTATTGTGTCGATGGTCAATTTAACCAGATCATTTGTCCCAATGGGTTGGTCTACAATGAAAATGCTGGCATCTGCTCGTGGCCAGATGAGGCTAAAAGAAAGGGATGCACATCACAAGGTAATAATAGTTATTTTAGGATTATTACAGGGTGAAAACTTTATCTCGCCATTGGTCTGCTACCCGCAAAGCCCGGCTTAGATTGTTCATATTTATAGGGAATAAAACTCTCGAAATTAACGATATAACTGGATATAACGCTAAAATCTAACTAATATTCAACATCCTCCCACCTGAGAAACGGTTTATGAAATAAAATGTTTCTCACAATCGAGAAAATAATGAAAAACAAAACATTGACAAAGTCTAAAACTAAAACAAAAGTTTGACAAGCTTCACTTCAAAAGTTATTCTTTGAAGGAAATTTAGAAATGCGACCACTACGAGTAATTTTAACGGGTTCTTTTTATCACTGCCGCACCATCACTACAAACAGATTCTTCTAGTGTTTTAACAGCTCGGAAATGTTGAGAATGTTGAAAAAAACAAAATATGGAAAAAATCAAGTTCTATTTTTTTCTTAAATACTTCTCACTGAAAGGTGAGAACGGCACAAAAATGAAATCATAAGCATAGCCCAAGCTGCATAAGTGACAGTAAGATTAGATATCAGATTCTGAAGACTCATCAGTCATCAGAATATTCAAAACTTTCTACTTCAGAATCAGAAGAATCTTCATTGGAATTTGAACCCTCGTTTGGATTTGTCAATGCCAATAATAGTAAAAAGAATATTAGACTGTTCTGTTTCTGTTCTACACAACATTAAATAGTCATATTGTAACCTTATAATGAAAAAAAATTGAATTTTTCCAAATTGATTGGCTTTTTTCGGAAAAAAACGGCTTTTTTTTTCTTTTTTTTCCAAATTTGAATAAACCAGTTTTTTAAAACACTAGATTCTTCCAGCTCGTGTGGTGGAGACCCATGTTGCATAACTTCCGGATCGGGACTCATAGCAACTTCATTCTTAGCATCAATTTCGTTGTATTGTTCACTTCCATCACACTCAAGAGGGTACAAACGCTGTACAGGTCAGTTGGCGGATGCAATGGGGGGGGCAGGGGGGGGGGGCAATTGCCCCCTTTTTTTAAAATAAAATAATAAAATTAAAAAAAAAAAGAAAACAAAACCATATTTTAAGTTTTAAGAATGTTTAGAAAGCTGGAAACCTATAAAAAAAATCACACTTTTGTCTTTGTCCCAAGGACTTCAACCTCAAACAGTATATCATTAGTGCTTTTCAAGAATATAGAATGAAATATAGGGCATCTCATTTGAAAAAAGCTGGAAGCATGCAAAATTTCACATTACTGACATTCAAATTTTGTTTCTGACAATGGTTTCTAAAAATTCAGCCAAAACTGTACAACTTTTGTATTTACACCTTTCTTCTACCTGTGAAGGTAAAAGCTGTAGGTGGGGTGTCAATATATAAAAAAACACCCTATAAAAATAAGTGGATTATTCCGGAACTTATGGGTGGACCTCTGCGCATCCATCTACTCACCAATATACTGTTGAACTGTTCAAATAAGACACTCACCTGAAACATGTAGTTTTTGAACTAATGAGAAAAATTCTCAACTGAGGGCCGGTTTCTCGATAGCGAGTCACCTCCGGGTTCGTTTTAACTCCAGGGTAAGTGTTTCCAGTAGCTAGTTTACCCTGGAGCTATGCTTAACCCGGGAGTGACCTGCTATTGAGACACCGGCCCTGAGTGAATCAGGTTAGTATTGTACTTGAACAACATATTGGTGAATAGATGGCTGGGTCCACCCATAAGTTCCGCAACAATCCACTCGTTTGTACTTGAATAACTTGTCACAATATACAGGGTGATTGATGATCGATGGTAGGTTAGACGTTTATGGAAAACGGAATGTTGGATATTTTTGAACATTTGCATGCCCAAGTAATTGCTCCTGATCTATCATTCTAAAATAATTTCAATGATGCGACGTTGCCGCTTATAACAAAAAGTAATATGAACTTTGAAATTTTAAATGAGACACCCTGTTTATTATTGCATTTTTCGCTCCGCTATTACTTTCTGATCATTTTTGTATAATACTGTCCTATACCTATCTCAAATGATTTTCGACTTATTAATTAATTTCTTTATTTTTTCTTCAAAACATAGCTCTAGTTAAATTTGTATTACTACGTCCCTGAGACTCGTAAAAAGTTTAAATTTTGGAGATAACTTAGGGAGGTCCTGCATATTACTTTTGAGCAAGAAAATTTGTTCTACATTATACAGGGTTGGTCAAAATTAGTAATTGTGCTGCCAGGTACAAAAAAGATGAAAAGTGCACTTTTTCAAATAGAACACCCTGTATATTATGAAATATTATGAAAGGCGATTAAAATTCCTTACAAATGATGTATCATATTCCTATACCTAAATAGTAAGGTTTCGGAAATACAGGCAAGTTTCTGTAAGAATTTGATCAGGTATTTAAAAAATTATGTCTTATTAAATAGCAGTAACAAGTGTGTTAAGTGAACTTTTTTTCACGAATGTGTCATGCGACAATCACATGAGTAAAAAAAGGTACTGTAAACACTTATTGCATACAACATTTTTTCTACTATCTATAAAATATGTGAGAAAAATAAATTTAGACACATACTTCTAACTTAACGCACTAGTGCGTGAAGTAATTTACCAGAAAAAAAAATACTAAATTGACAGTGTCGACATCTGTCATTGACATTACTTTACGCACTAGTGTGTGAAGTGAAATTTAACGTCTTCGCAATAGTGCTTTACATGAGGTAGTAGAAAAAATACTGTCACAACCTATTTTGTTGCAACTGGGGGTTTGGGATCTTTTTTTTCTTGACCGCATGTGGATTTTGATTAGCCCAAAAGTGTTGATTTCTCCTATCAAAAATACCTTCTCTAGAAACTTTAGCTTCATCGGTCCATATTAATTTTGTTTAGAAAATTTAGATAGGTACTCATAAGTGTGTGTCAAAAGTGTCTCTTAATATCGAATTTGACGTTGGTAGTCGTCCGGTTTCAGCTGTTCAACTTTTGTGAATTTAAAGGGATGTATGTTATGATCGTTAAAAATGTTCTGCACATAATAATAGCTCAGGCCTCAGTGTTGCCAACTTGGTAAAATCATTACCAGATCTGGTAATATCGACCTCGGTTTCAGTAATAAAGATTTTCAAAATATATCTAGTATTATTTCTGGTAATTTGACATTTCATTCCAGCAAAATTCTGGTATTTTCGCATTAGCAATCAATAATCTATTTTTGTTGAATTTATGGTCGTTTGCACCGTCCATTTTGAACTTTAACGATAATCAACGCTTAAAGTGACATTTTTACATGTTGGAATTTGACATTGGATATTTGAATGTGAAATTTGAACCAATAGGAAAGAACTCCGCAAAAAATAGATCGCTATTTCGCGTCTATGGAGACTAGTCTTAAATAGTAATGCCAAAGGTTACCAATATACCTATTAGAGCCGGTTTATTCACCTCCTGATAAACTGTCAGGTATGCAATCTGACCCATATATAAACGTAATATGAGGTCTGTTTCTGCAGAAATCACAAACCAGTCAGAGCGAATTTCATTGGTTGAAAACAATCAGAAAACTAGTTTCAATCAATGAAATTCACTCTGACTGGTTTGTGATTTCTGCAGAAACAGACCTATGCTATCCCATTGGTTGACCAGTTATCCGCTGACCAATAGAATTATAGAACGGTGCACTTATCTTGCGCTTTTTTATTTTAAACCTAACGAAAAAAACAAAAAAAAAAACTTAAAATAAACAATTGAAATCTAAAAATTTTAGAACAATTTTTGTTTGGCAACAAAGACCTAGTTATATTCTGGTATTGGCAGGATTGAGAAAAATCTAGTAATATTGTGGTATTCCAAGTTTTATAATCTGGTAAAATGGCCATTCATATAGTTGGCAACACTGTCAGGCCTAAATCACCTGCTGCGGATGGAAGTTTGGGGATATGCGTGAAAGTAGGCTGAAACATTCACGATGTTTCTTCATCAGACTTCACAGGCTTGAGTAAGCTTGGTTCATTCTTAAGTTTTGAACCAAATGTATAAAGTTATTTTTTGTGCAACCGTCCGCAAAATTTAATTTCGCGGCCGCCACACCTGACGTGCAAAATGGATCAAATCCTTGTCAAATTCATACAGTTTTTCTGTAACTTTATATAATTTTTATAGTTGCACAAAAATAAGTGTGTATACCATGACCGCGAAACTTTTTAGCGTACGTGAGAGTATCTTGCCTCGGCCGCTTGCCTCGGCGATAACTTTTTTCTACGTACGCTAAAAAGGCCTTTCGCAGCCTTGGTATACAAATAACTATTATGTCGAACAAATTTTCTTTCATTCATTGGTCGTAAATCAGGGTACATTTCGTTGAACTTTTTGCATATTCTTGGATTCTTGCTACATTTTTTTTGAAGATTTCTTCTTTTTGACGTTTTGTAAAGTTTTGCAGTGGTAAAAAACAAATAAACTTGCTGACAGCTGATGGCAGGCAATTTTTTTAATTAAAAATTATTTTTGACACCAAAATTATCACTTCTGATTGGTCAAAATTAACAGGAGGGAAATAGTCATGGTAAAATGTATGGCCCACTTCCATAGATGCCTATAATACCTAAGACTTGTATGACGTCATTGGATTGAACTGTCAAAAAAACCGTGAGTAGGAAAGAGACAAAAACATAATAATGACAATATTTTCGCATATCACACATTGTAAAAAGTGGACCATCTCATGCATTTGTTTTTATTCCCAGATAATAACCACGGTTCAAATCACCTGCCAATCATGTGGTTTGCATCGTTTGAATTACATACCTAATATGTTTCATCGTGACATAGCTATTTAATGACGATTCGGGTTGGTAGAATGAGTGTAAAGAAAAAGTATTTCTATCTTTTTCTACAACAGGCTGAAAGAAAGAGATGAAAATATACTCAGTGTGAATTAAATCTACCAATTGGAAACGCCATTAGACAAATATCCCAAAATAATCCAATTCTAACAGAAACT